CCATCATTCCATCTCTAACATTTCTTAGTAAGGTTATGAGAGCCCATTGGAGTAGGGCTTTTCTAAATGGAAACACGTCACATAACCAAGTAACATTGGAGATGGAATGATGGATTAGTGCATGTTAATTTATTTACGAAGGGTCATCAGCTTTTAATGCAGTGTGCTAATTTTTGTGTTGTGTCTTAGTCTTACAGATTAAAGAGTTGTTGCCTTTGTTGTATTAGTCTTGAAGATTGAATTAAAATATTCCGAAACGTTGGCAAATTGAAATATTTTAATGTATAAACATGTTTTAATGTACAAACATAATTTAATTGTCTCTTCTGAGTCAAACTACCATTTAAAAAATTATGATACATTCTTTCATTACATTTATATGTCCATGGCTGGCTTTTTGATCACATTTGGAACTCCTTTGTTATTCTAGAATCCACACGAAAGAAACTAAGATTGCGTTATACAAATAGTTTCTATGCATATCAACCACATGACCTCTGAATCTTTCTTTACATATCGATGTAACTTGCGAGATTTGTTTCCAGTATTGTCAGGGAGTAAGATATATTTTTGCTATTCGATCGATAGCTTTAAATAAATTTCCGAGTAATGGTGTAAGTGCGAATCTCTCACTCACTGCTCACACAGGAATCGAAGAGCGTCAGAATATATTACGAGATACTATGTATGTATTTTGCATTTTGGGTCGATTCTTCGACATTGCCATCTAGCTAACGGATTTACCCATACTTGGGGGACTAACTTAATTTCCAAATTATTAGAAACACAGAAAGACATGTGAAGAACGTGTCATATGCACTTCAGCACAACTAGCAAACTCCGCATGCCCGAGCGTTTCTTCTTCACACAGCAACAGAAATTGTGACTATTTGAAAGAAAGTTACAACTATTTTTTCACCGCCCGAGAATATTACCCGGGATCACGCAACGAGAATATAGTACACTGCTAATTAGCTCATCTAGAGACTACTAGGACATTATTTGACAAAAATATTTAAAAAAGATACGTATCCCGGACGTAGACGCAATGCAGTTAATAATAGATAAAATCCCAGTAATGGTAACGTTTATAAAGACGTTAGTTTTAAAGTTGCAAACTAAAGATGTGCAGGAATGCAAAATGACGATCATGAAACCGTAATGGTCGTAGGTTGTGTGACAGAAAATATTGAAATCAATATTTCAGAAAGATATAAAAGTTTGTTTTGTAGACGAACCTAATTATTGGAGTCGGGTTAACGGGACTTGGTGAGTAGAAGTAAATCCATATTGGTTGTTTGCTTGGTTGTTTGCCAATCGACATGGTTCTTTACCAACGTTTCGGAAAATGTATTTCCATCCTTAGAGCAATTGAAAATGAGAAGGAACAATCACTGTTACATCAATCTACCAAAAAACTGCCTAAGGACAGTCTCCCCGCTAGCAATCCCGTACGCCAAAAAAAAGTCGAGTGATTCAACCTCGTGAAACAAGGTAAACAGTGGACACTATGGCTCGGGGTTCTAAACTTGTGCCTGACATGAAAGTTTTCAGTTGGTGTGGGTATTCTAAGGCTGTGCTTCATAACAACTATTCTCTAGTTCTGTAGTTTCTTAATCTGACTGACAACAGCGTGTGCAATCTCTCAGTGTTATTGAGGAAATAGATACATACCCACACCCCACAGCAATCTCACATGTACCGGGATGGACCAACGATACTTCTGCCCTATACGTACAGTTACAGGACGAGAAAAGTCTGTGAGACGTTCGGGGACTGTTCCATATTTTCATACGCACGAATTCTTCCTTTCTCGTTCTTTGAGAAACGTTTTCTCGTGTCATTAGGGGAATAACAGCAGAATTATTCACAATACATAAGTCACTTCTGCACAGACAAGTAAACAAAGCTACAAAACTGCTAACAGGAGAGTGTCTTTAAACTAATTTTCACGTTTCAAGTGTTTTGTTGCTCTTATGCAATTGTGCCAACTAATCAGATGCAATATCGCATCTAACGATGTGACTAGCAATTGTACACCTTTATTTAATAAATGTTGTGATAATTTCTCAATTCGTCGATTAACTTATGGTGTTCGTTAAAAAAATTGTCTTTCCTTTTCATTAATTTTTACTTTATGTATTATATATTTAAGTACACATTCTTCCATATTTTTTCTAGACCTTGTTATAACTATAATATTTGATTTTTCATTTTTACTTGTGCGCCTTACTACGTACGTAGTAAATGGAAAGTACTTTAATGCACCGGGAAAATGCTGTGGCAAAAAAGAAAAGAAAAAAGAATTGTCGAGCCCTGGTAATGAAAAAGTGAATACCCATAGGTACAAAATTACTTCCTGAGCACATTATGTTGCCAGATTTCACATTTCATGGCTCCTTGATACCGAAAAATCGATTAGAGGTAAAACATACGTCTATCAATCTATCAATGTTCAACACTAGAGTCTAAAATGTTCAGATTTTTTCTCTAAAATAGATATTTCCAGATTGATCGAAATAAAGGAGTACGAAGTGGATTGAAATGGATATTTTTATTTTTTGGGAGTATTTTACATGAACCTTCTACAAATCTTTCAATAATTTCACAAAAGTAGCTTCAACTATTATTATTAAAATTTTTTCTCGGAAAGCGTAAAGAACGCTTATAAAAGTGAGGTTTTATTTTCATTGAAATTTTGGATTTTACGAAATTTACAAAAGTTCAAAAGTTATTGGTCGTCTTCTTACAACCACAAAATTGTAGTAAGAAATTTGTCTTCATAAAATCTGGTGTTCTTGAAAACTCTTGACTGATTTTGAAATATAATCGTGTAAATTTGTTCGGAAATAGTATGTTCAATTTTCGTGTAATTTTTACGTGACAAATAAGCATATTTTAAAGGTTTTTCTCAGAAACGAATACAATTAAAGAAAACCCTCATATGTTGCAAAGAACGGCAAAAAAGAATTGGTACCATTTTCGGCTACCTTTTATGAAATTTGGAATTCGTCAATATTTTCGAAAAGTGGAAAATAATAAACATTGCAAGAGAAGGTATATTGTTGATAATTAATTTTAATGGTATTTTCTGTTGTAAAAACATTATTCTTCAAGTAAGGTTGTTTCTTTAGTTTCTTGAAGAAACTACTGGTTTTTACGTAATTTCTGCTTGAAATTAATACAAATTATATTTTTTTCTGGAAAATGGCTCCAATTTTTTTCTGTTTTTAACAAACAGAGCAAAGACGCTTGAAAAACTAAGCAACTTTCATTTTTGTTGAACACTGACTTAAATAAACAGAAATAATATGAATAATCTTTCACCATTATTGTACCTTCTTTTGAAATGTCAATTGTTGGCATTTTTCGTAAATACTTATCAATTCGCCAAAAACAGGAGCAGCACCAATTTTAGCAAAAAAGGATTGATATTTGTATACATCGATGATATAATGTTGGTTTATACAACATTTAATTCGTCGTCAAAAAAAAAAATTTCTCTGATGCCCAGTTTGTTACCTTGCAACTAGTATCTACGAGAAATCGAAGTTTTAAAAAACGTGTGGGGAATACGTTGGTCTTCCCCCCCACCCCCAACCGCACCCCCGTTGGTCTCATCTTGATCGAGAGGTAATCTGCTCCACGAGTACTAAGGACATTCGTTTTGAAAGAACACAATCCGACAATGGTACCATCCCTTACTATTTCATATTTATCTTTTACAAAATTTGAATAATGTTAGTTTTTCGTTCACAAAACATTGAGCACCAAACATTGTTGTTTTAAAAGTATTGACATCGATGTCGCATCGTATATAGCATCACAACTTTCATTAACGTTTTGGACCTCTGATGTTGTTTCCTTAGAGTGAATATTCTTTTTGTTGGACACGCTCACTTTGTCATACGTTGGGCATAATGCGAATGATCTATCATCAACAATGCAGACCAAGTTATTTTTAATTTTTGTAAATGCAAGAGTTCGCCGAAAACGGGAGCAGAACCATTTATTTTTGACCGTTCTTTGCTACATATGAGAAGGTATATTTCTTAAGAGCACCCCTCGTGTAATTAATGAGGGGGGTTTCAATGAAATGTCATTATTTTTATTTTCACTTTAGAACAATGGTTGTTAATACAGACAGTAATTTTATGTTATAACGAAAGAAAATTACACATGCCATGTTTTTTTTTTGATTTCTACTTATAAGTAAATTTTTACCTTTTCCCGTCCTTTTTAAAGCATTTTGCTGATTTCATTTATTTTAATATCATTTTCATGGCACTTTCTTCAAATATATTTACTAGTTGCAACAAATATTATCTACAGAATTCCTGAGTAGCCTATTTCATTTCTTCGCTCATATATTGTAATGTCAGACGTTGTGAGTACTATGTAATCTAAGGTTCCTGTGATCGCGCCATTGCCAGTTCTGCCGATTTGGGGAAAACCAAAGAACTTGAACAAGAGGAAACGTCGATAACATCAGCAACATATCTATCAGCTTGGGATATTCATCTGAATTTGTTGCGACCATAATTTTTACGTCGTTTTTCTTTGCTTTTAGGTAGGGCATTTTAAAAACAATTCAGGGGCATTTCATTGATGATCTGTGGCGATGTGTTGGGTGATGGAAACCCGCCCCAGTAGTTGACGCTGCGCCGCTCTGTTGTGCGGAGCGAGCGCTCCCCGCGTCCACGCGCCGCCTTTCTCCGCCGACAAAGATCGCGGCCGGCGGCGGAGGGGGTCGCGGGTTCGTGCTCGGGGGAGGCGGCGGGTGAGTCACGCGGGCGGGGCCATTGGGTGAGCGGGGTGAAAGGGGATCCGCGGCGAGCGGCCCCGGCGGCGGCGGTGGCGTTGCTGAGGGACGAGGAGGAGGTGAAGGCGGTGGTTTCTGAGGGGGAAGGGTGGAAGTGGAGAAGGGTGTGGAGGAGGTGAAGAAGGCTGAGGTGGAGGTGGACATGGAGACGGAGGCGAAGGCGGAGGGAGAGGTCTAAATGAAGGAGGCGAAAGCAGAGGCAGAGGGGGAGATGGAAAAGGAGGTGCAGGCGGAGGTGAAGGCACAGGCAGAAGTGGAGACTGAGGCGAAGGCGGAGGCAGAGGTGGAGATGGAGGCGGGTGCGGCGGCGTGTTGGCGGTGGCGGTGGAGCTGCGGGTGGAGGTGGCGAAGGCTGAGGTAGAGGGGGCGTTGGATGTGATGGCGACGACGGGGAAGGCGGAGATGAAGCCGGCAGAGGCGGTGATGGAGGAGCGGGCTGAGATGAATGTGGCGATGGTGGCGACGACCGGGGCAGCAGGCGGTGGTGGTGAAGGCGAAGGAAGCGTGGATGGAGGCGGCGGCTGTGGCGGAGGAGAGGACGTGGTCTGGGGCGGGCGGGGCAGGCGGCGATGGCAAAGGAGGTGCAGCGTCAGAATGTGGCGGAGATGGCTGCGGCTGTGTTGATAACTGGGGTGGTGGAGGAGGCTGAGGGGCTGGCGATGGTCGTGGAGCGAGGGCTCTGCGGTGGCGCCAAGGGGGCGATGCAAGGGGTGAGGCGGCGATTGCCATGTGCCCGAGAGAGAGAGGGATGGAGGCGAGGCTGGCAGCGGCAGCGGGGGAAGACGAAGCGGGAGGGAGGGGACGGGCAGCGATGGTGCCCCCCATCCCCCCATTGCAGTGATTGATTGATGTTTACGGCTTCACTGCGTGTTTTACGCGGCGGTGTACCTTCCCTTTTGGAAACAGAGGTCCGGCACCGACCTTCAAGTCGGCATGCGGTAGTAATCCCCTTCAAGGTATCTCCCCCAGCGAGGCAGCGCTCCAGCCAGAGCAAGCTCAAAACTCACGACTTTCTCCCGGCAACTGTGATGGTGTAGAGTTAGAAAAGGACAAGAAAGAGGAAGAAAATATAGCGCACGGTCCGTGTCCTGTTTGCTAGTGTTCTACTCCGACATTCGCCTGGTATTGATGAGAAAATCACGGAAAACTAAAGATGAGAGCTGCCGGCCTCAAGGATTCTCCTCCAGACAGCGACTGAGCTCGACCTTGCTATCTGGCTGGTGTCAAAAACCCTGCCACCGTCGGGGCTCGGACAAAGGGACCTCCCAGTCAGAATCGCTGCAGAGACTGAGGCAATGTTGGGCCTGAGCTAAACGCAGACGGCCCGGTGCGGTGGAGCTAGGGCGGCGGCGGCGGCGGGGGCGGCAGCGGCAGCCGCTCCGCCGCCGCCGCTGCGGACGCCGCAGCGGGTATAAAAGCCCGGACTCCCGTCTCGCAGACACCACTCGCTCCAGCGCCCCTTCGTCGACCACCGACCACCACCACCACCACCCAACCGCAGCATCATGAAGGTCCTGGTGAGTACCACGGTGGTTGCACGCTACGCCCGGATCCAACTGGCCACAGCGGGAGATCAATTGCGTTGGTACCGCAGAGTTTCGTTTCAGTGGGTTTCACCTTTGGAACTAAGCAGTGGCGCTAGTCCTGTTGCTCAATAAGCAGTCGATTCCTTATAGCTCAGTTCCATCGAAATTGAATAGCTGAGTTTTTTAGCTTTATAAGTGTTTCAAATCAAAGTATTTCTTATATAGGACGACTAGTTGCGTTATTTTTAGTTTAATGATGAAAGCTTCCATGTTAAGGTCGGGCAAACTGCATAGTGTCTTAATGAACTTTTCATTTGCAACTAGATAGAATTAGGCAGTAATCCTACCATGGTCAATAATACTCAGAAAGGAGCGTGACCTAATTCATAGCTGAAATGGAAGTTGATATGAAAAAGTAGTAGAAAGTAGTAGAAAAACATTTGTGCATGCTCTAAAACCATCGCAGAACAACAATAGATTGTTAATAATGTATCAAAACGACTGCCACTTACATGTTTGTAGTAGACCAACAAATCATTCAAATGCATAACTTGTCACCTGATCAAACTAAAAATATCTAATTTTTAGTCCCAAATTCTACGGAAAAGAACACGGAGTACTTTGTCGATCTCCTATGCCAAGCCCGACAATCATGTTGAAATACCTTTGTGATATGTATCAGGATAAAATAACTCTTTGTGAATAGTACTGTCTCCATACTTGTAACTTCTAAAATTTAAATTTCAAAATTCTGTTTTTTCTTAAATACTATGTTAATGTTGTAGCTACAAGTGTAAACCTTTCTGAATTTTTTTAGGAATAATTAGTCACTAATAAGTGTTGACATTCCTTTCAAGTTCGTAAGTTCAAAATAAATATAAATTCTTGTTCCAAACCTCGATGCCGTTATTCTATAAGTCTAATTGTAAATGGTAAGATTTTATATAAAATGAGATTTATGAAAAGCACATAAAATATTTTATGAAACGTTTCATTCAACAAGTGTGTTGTACACGCGCTTTCTTCGATTAGTCACAGCCAACACATTTCGTCATTTCGATACTTGTTTAGTCTATCATCTTTCGAGGAAATTAGCACAACGCTTTGCTGTCATATGAGCTTCACGGTTCTCTTACGAATAGCGTTACTCTCGGCAGCGTTTGCGAATGTTGTTTGGTTGTTACGTGAACTTATTTCATGTCTATAGAACATATTAAATTTTATAAATATCTTCATGTAACTCCGAATTTTATTGTGTGAAAGTAAGATTTTATAAAATTTATATATTATGAAACGTTTTATAATACTTTTTCATGATACGAGTGATAAAAGTGATATCTTATTTTGAAAGTAGGAAACGTCGTTCTCGGTCGTGCCGCTAGATGACGCATGATCGTGACCGTATCAAGCAGTGCGGTGTGTCTAGCGGCACGACCTAGTAAGGCGCGAAATACCGTGAGATATTCCATCGTGAAGTCAGGCTATCACGCGTCACGTTATAAAAATCGAGGCAAAGAGATAAAGTGATTATCCAAAAGAAAAATAATATTTATTGTAACAAACCATATTATAATTCTTTGCATTATATATTTTTTAAAAGGACTTAATACGTTTGTAACAAATAATATACTTCAGCTCCCGGGTCAATGACCCCCATCTCAATTAGGTTTTTGGCCAATTTCCCTGAATCATTGAGCAAATGCCGAGATGGCCCCTTGTTTTGCTTCTGGGCGCAAATGTAGCTTCATTTGCGTACGTTTTGTTGATCTCTCCTTTTGCTTGTAATGGTAGGAGTAGAGGAAAGGGCGAGTTACTATTTTGTTAGGAATGCAGAAAAATCATACTTGCAATTCGTTTACCGATGTAAATATGTTTTCTGTAACTCAGGAACGAAAATGACTAAATATTTCAAATAGTGCCAATCTCAAGCTTTTTTAAAATTTATTTTTATTTATTTATTTTAAAGGTTTACTCATCTTTCAACTATTTATAGTTAAACTGATGGGGAGGGATACTGGAACTCAAGAAAACGTGCGCAGATGATCTTCTCCCCCATACGTCACATAGAGTTTTCGCTGTTTTTTGACTGGATAATTCTCAATCCAAATGTACCAGGCCGTGTTCGTGCTTGCGCTGGCCTGCGTGGCCCTGGCTGAGGACAAGAAGAAGGAGGAGAAGGCGGCCGTGGACGACAAGAAGCAGGACAAGCGCGGCCTCCTGGGCCTGGGCTATGGCGCCCACGGCGTCCTCGCCGCCCCCGCCCCCGCCGTCGGCTACGCCGCCGCCCCGGCCCTCGCCTACACCGCCCACGCCCCCGCGGTGAGTGGGCAGCTCTGCGTTTCGATAAGCTGAAACATCGCTATCAATAAAATACCCTTAAAATGTTTTTTTAAGTGCTTTGTTCATATAAACGACTGAAGCTGTTGATTATGTAACTGAGTAATCGACGCTTCTTCCTTCCGTTAGAGTGAACTCAGCGTACAACATTTTGGTTAGGATTGTTCTTTACCAGGAAATTTCTGTCTTTAGTTATCCCAAAATAGGCTGACCCAACAATGGCGCTGATAGGCTTTCACAGGAACCTTAGATTACATTCTTACAATGGATGACATTAACATTTCTAAGTGAAGCAATCGAATAGACTAATTCGGTGGAGAACATTTGTTGCATTTTGTAAATATTATTTGTGGCAAGTAGCATTAAAATGGAATTAAAATCAATTAAATCAGCGAAAATGCTTTAAAAATGGCAGAAAATGGTAAAAAATGACTAATTAGTCGAAAACGACAAAAGATGTAAAAATTTCATATAATAATTAGTAATTTACCTTTGTCATAACATAAAATGAATGTATACACTCAAAGACATTGTTTTGCAGTGAAGAGAAAAAATGACGTTTCATTAAAATCATTATCATCTGACTCACCACCCGGCGCGACGTCGCGTTTGATCGAACGGGATAATTTCACAATGATGCCTTGTTTTATGTGGCGAGGCTCAAGTCATCAGGACTGTTCGTCCGCCAGATCACGCAGATTTTGCTATGTTCTTTTCGCTATCTAGCAGCGACAAAAGGTGCCTCTCGGGCAAAGAAAAATGCGATTTTTAGCTCAGAGGTTTCCTGATCTTTTATTTGCAGTAAATGTACAACGTGGGATAGCCGACTTTACTTCCCCTCCGAAAGCGTACGAAAGATTTTTCTTTCTGGATCTGCCAAACTTTTACGTCGAGTTAACGTTTACATTTAAATTTCACTGATCGCTGCACGAAGGGTTATGCTCAAAAAGTCAAAAATTATATATTTTTTAAGTTGTAAATAAACAAGTTAAATCTATTTGTGAGTACAAAGAGAAAAAGTTTCTTGCCCCATTTATACTGAACTATTCAATTGGGAATGTTGAATATGTGAGAAAAATACATACATATTGCAGAATAAAGAGAAATTTGTTCATATTATGCTGAAAATATATTGAACTGATGGGCTGTTTGATGGTAACACTACATCATTAAGTGTCGACAATTTCCTGGGACAGATTAAAAAAACGTATAACTACTTTAATGAGATGCTTCTGGCGGACATTTTCATGTTTAAAAGTTTAATTAATGCTGTGCAAGTTCATAAAAAATACATTTTCAACATCACTTGACCTGCTCGTTCATTTTTAGACACAGAAAGTTACATGAAAATGTATTGCTTAGAATACATATTTACATTTTTTCATTACAAAATTAAGGTAAATTATCGTCATTGTTAAAAAGTATTTATCCAATGTACTTGTAAATGCTTTGAAAACATCAAAAACACGGGTTTTTCTATTTTTTTATATCCTAAAGGGAACCGGCTAAGAATTGAATCGATCTATTTGTCCCATTAAGATTTAAGTGAACAAGTAGGTAACCGAGTAAGTGCAGTAAGTCACCCAAATCGTGCTAAAATTGAAAAGCTAAAAAACACATTTGCCGATCCGGATAGCCGAGATTGCAGAGGCAGTAGTGCAGTGGCGATTTCGGACGGAAGGATCGCAGATTCGAGTCCCCCTCGGATATGTGTTTGTGTATCTTTATGTTGTCCCCCCTACAGTTTGTTTCCAGAAAAAAAAAACAAAGTGGCCGCTACATGACCCATTAGTTAAAAAGCGACCGAAAGGAAAAACAGTAATTTTTGGAGGGATATCTTAGAATCTTCAGGGTGGATCCACGAAAACTGATCAGTTCCTCGCCAGGAGACCGAGATGCCTGGGTTGTCATTTGTATCAATTTGTGGACCAGATTAGTAGTGCGTGAGTGATGGTCGGACAGAGGTTACACGAAAGAAAAGTTTTGAAACTCTGCTTTCCTCTAAACTAAATTCTTGCGCTTATTAATGTAAATACAGAGAAATTACATAAAATATATTTGTAAATTGAACATATGACATTGGAATATAATAACTTTATTAATATTTGGCATGCTTGCTTTGCATATTTATTAGTAATTCGAGCCTGTAAGGCATAAGGCGTGCCTTAAGTTTAAGTTATGCAATTAGAGACTGTACCGAACATCCAAAAGGAAAGTAATATTAATTTTAACAATGAAATTTTACGCATTTTATACCATTTGTATTGTATAACTGTAGAGGACCTGTAACAAGTATTGAATTTCAGCTTCTGGGTCAATGACCGCCATCTCGTTCAGGTTTTTGACCAGTTTCCCTGATCCTCGAGCAAATGCTGAGATGGTCCCTCGTTTTGCTTCTGGACATAAATGTAACTTCAAATTAACGTCTCCCTATAGCACATCACAGACAGTTTTTAACTGTTTTGACGTAAATAAATAAATATATAATATCATCGTTTTTTGAAACAAGATTTTTCACTGTTCACTTTAATTCTCACAAAGGTGTATTATTTTGGATGTAGATTTCATAGTGAATGTCCTTTTCATTTGAGCCCGCCTTGACGCGTGTGTTTTGTTCCTCAGATCGCCGCCGCCCCTGCCTTGGGCTATGCTGCTCCCGGTGGGTACGCGCCCGGTCGCCGCGGCCCGCTCAGCTACCACCCCGCCCCCGTAGCGCGCGTCGCCGCCGCCCCCGCCGTCGCCTACGCTGCCCCCGCCGTCGCCAAGGTATACCTTACACAGCCACGTAAATAGTAATCCTGTTCGTACAGTACAGGGATTGGCAATTTATTCATACCTGCGGGTCACACTGTCAAACACGGAATTCAAATTGTAAAATTTCATGCTGTTACCGATTACTTCTAGCGTGACCATAGTGCGAGACATTCATGAACCACAGAGATATGTTGCATATCGAATCCTGCCAATGCTACATACACATGAGGCCTGTTAAGGGAAATTTTGGGATTAATACGAGAAGAGGAAGCAATTACGTTGACATAGACGGCTGATGAATGCTCACAGACAACACAGAAACACACCAACTGCATTAGAACTACTTAGTACCATCGTAGAAGAAGATACCTATGGGTATCTAGGTATCTAGTACATAGTAGGTAGTAGCACCTGGTCAGCCGAAGGCTGATGAATGCTTGTAGACAAAACAAATCCACCAACTGCGTGAAAATTACATTTTCTTCTTATCTGTTTCTCTGAATTCAGAAAAAACATGCCTGTTGTATTCAGTATTAATTCCCCCAACATTTCTCGTCCTTTCGTCGACATGAAATAATATAACGTATTAAAAAGAAAATGTTATTAGTCGAACCATCTTGTCTTCACTTCTCGTCTGTAATATCTCCCTTCTATTTCTTTCTCGTTGTACCGAGCATGTTTTTAAAGGTAGAGATATTTTTATTTTGGTTATATTTGGTGTAAATGAAGCACGAAAGTACTTAACTAAACATATCTTATCATATGTTACACTCTAAACGTACTCTTGTTGCTATTAATGTCGAGTCTGTTTGGGACAAAGCCTGGAATTACACAACACCCATTTTTTATTCTCATCAGTCGAGTTCTAGAAAAGAAAAATAAATAATTAAACTGCCCTAGAAATACCCCTGTGTCACTGCCGTTGTCAACGCAGTTACGTTTCTGTTACACTTTCATTCCGCGTCCACACTATCCAACATGTTTCAGACGTCGGAAGTGTAGGTTCACCAGTAATGTAACTATTTATGACGTACCTCAGTCAAAAATAACGATATCTCCTTTCTTCGATAAACTATTTAAGAGATATTTCCAAAACAAATAAAACAACAAATTATATGCATTCAGTTGTATGGTGAGTGTCTATTTAATTAATGCATTCAACTATTACGGAGTTCTGCAGTGAGCTACGGTGTACTGTGGTTGGCTGCAGTGTACTATACTATCGTAATGTGCTTCACTCTGGTTGTGTGCTGCGATGCATTATAGTGTGCTTTGTTATACCGCGTTGCTCTTCAGTGTGCTGCGGTGTACTGTTGCTGCAGTGTGCTATAGTGTGCTTTGATGACCATTAGTGTGCTCCATTGTGCTTGTGTGCTGCGCTGCACTATAGTGTGCTCCATTGTGCTTGACGCGTCCTCGTGTTGTGTTCGCAGGTGGGCTACGCCGCGCCGGCTCTCGCCGCCCCCGCCTTCGGCCTCGGCCTCGGCCACGGCCTGGCCCTGCACTGAGGCCCCCTCTCCGCCAGCCCCTCGCAGGCGGTCTAGCAGCGGCGCTCTCACTCGCTCTCTCTATCTCTCTCTCTCTCTCTCTCACCTGCCCTCTCCTCGCAGCACCCTCTCTCTAATTTATTGAAATAAACTTCATCGTCTTCACAACACGCCTGTATTTATTTCGTCACCGTCCCTCTTGAAGAGTTTCTCCCTCAAGTTATTTATTCTGTGACTCCATCTGTATCTGAGCCTCCAGTTCAGATTAACTCCCTTCTTTTTCCTTCTAATTTTTCCAGGGAATCATTACTCTCGTAAATGAAATTTTCCTTTCCTTCAATCGCTCTCTCATCCCACTCTATCCCCAAAACGCTCTCGCCATGCTCTAACGCTCTCTTATGAATTGAAAAAATATTTTTTCATATTAAAAAGTAGCTCTTTCGTCTCCCATTCTCCCTGAGTCCAAAATGATTTCTTTAATTTTATTTTTGTATATCTTAATTGAAAACTATTTTACTTAATTCCGCAGACACATTACCTTGCTTTTTTATTCTATATTACGCTCTAATTATTGGAAATATAATTCCCTACATTGCAAATGAAAACACACATCTAATCTATCGAAATAATAGTCAATTTCTTGTTTTCACAATTTTGCTTTATTTATTTTACTTTCCTTTCTCCAGGAAAATCACTCTATACATTTTCTTATAAAAAAATCTATACCGTAGGCCATAACAGCTTCAGGAACATAATTTCTTTCTTCTCATTCACATTTTACCAGGAAACAATAAGCTCTCTTCAACAAAGAATAGAACATCAATCTAAATCTTTGAAACCTATCGCAATTAATCTCTGAGTTCCCTTTACAGTGAGTTCCTATTTATTTCATCACTCTTGTTTATGTAGGTTTACTTTTGCGAATTGTTTAGTATTCTATCTAGTACCAATAGTTTTCTCAGATTCCCTTCCCTTTATATTGCGTAGGAACATATTGGAGTGCATGTATCCACCAATGAAACCTCTCGTTCTTTTCTGCCCAGATTCCTGTAGACAGCAAACCAATGGAGTTTTCTTTTCTTCTCTTTTTCTATTAATGTGCCTCTCCATTGGGAGAAGATCCAATAACACAAAAGGTCTAAAATTAGACAATCTAATAACACAGGTCTAACAGGTAGACATCAAATGTCTAATAGGTATCCACAGGAATTCTAATAGGTAGTTAGTTATGTCTACGAACATATTAACACTCAGTAGGTCAAATGTAACAGGAGATCTAATGTGCAATAAATCTAATGCGATAGAAGGTCTAAGAGACAGAAAATCTAATAACACAAAAGGTCTAAAATTACAAAGTCAAATTGCCAGGACTAATTACTAATAGGAGGTGTAAAAGTAAACCCTGTAAGCCTAATAGGTAAATCAGGTCCAATTTCAAGTTTCAGAAAATGATAGTGACTCATCATGTCTTCCTGTGGAAATATTTGTATAGGAGAAATAAAGAAGTCGTCACCACTCAGTTGTTGGCAGAGCATGTTCGAGTGTATCACTCAATTTCAAAGTCCTACCAAATTAATTAAATGCAAGCTCAGAGAATGTTAGCAAATTACCCAAATTATAACTATCGTAGAGATATCGACGTATGCATGAAGCCTTTAAGCTACTGATTAAAATTCCCGGCTCCACCAATATTTGAAAACGAAGACAATTTCCGCACCATTATCTTATTACATACGTTAAATACTTTTTGAATTGAAGCCTATGATTCTAGCTTGTGCATTCTTTTCAATCATAATAAAGTGATATTATACGAGGAGTGTCATTTTGTTAAATATTTCTGACAGGCTCTGATTAGCTAGGCAGCTTTCTGATTAGGTCAAATTTGGACCAACTGGAACCACTTAGAATAAACATCATTATTTATTTTGCAATTGGATCATATTTTATTATCCTTTTTAATAATAATACTAATCTTTTATTTGACTTTTTGTGGGCCTTTCGCCATTAGAATTAAAATAATAGACCTTATGTCATTTCACATACCAGCCTTACACCAATGACATGTAACCTGTCATTATCACGTTACCCTTACCCTTCTCTCTCTCTCTCTCTCTCTCTCTCTCTCTCTCTCTCTCTCTCTCTCTCTCTCTCTCTCTCTCAAGTGAAAAAGTTCTGAATATCTTATTACGCAAGCGTACGTTTTGACAATCTTATTTCCAAAAAACTCACTTTTTTTTAGGAAAGTCAATTTTAATTTTTTGATTCAAGCTAGGATTCAATAAATTTCATATTCTGATTTTGTAGTTTAAAAGTCACACAAATGTGTAATAAACCCGGTGGTTACTTTAAAAGTCTTGCAGACAACTTCTGATTGGTAAAAACTTTAAATGTTCAATTCTTTGTTCCCCTTACTGCAAACTTGTATACTTGTTTTGTGACAAATAACACATTCTCGGGTTTGCTTCGTATTTCTTCGAGATACTTTAAGGAAAATTTCTAATATTCTAATATTCAAAAAGATATTCGCAGAGAAATGCTTTGCAAAACTCTCAGCAAGTCTTTTTGTCTGGTGATTTTTTAGCAACCAACCATTGTGACAGACAGCATCAAGATCAGTGACAAATATGGATATTTATTTATTAATGTTAAAAGCAGTTAAAAAATGTGTGTGATTTGCTATAGGGAGAAGTGAATTTGAAGGAAAACAAAGGGCCATCTCAGCATTTGCTCGAGGATCAGGGAAACTGAAAGAAATCCTGATCGAGATCATCGACCCAGAAGCTGAAGTGCAATACTTGTTACAGGTTCTTTGCAATTATACAATACAAATGGTATTAAATACATTAAATATCATTGTTAAAATTAATATAACTTTCCTTTTTTATGTTAGGTATAATCTCTAATTATATAGAAACAGTTGTGCAGCAAAAAATATTTTACTTGAGACTTAAACTTTAGTATCGAATTTAATCATTTAATGTCATCTGGCAAGGTGTTGTAAAATAATGTACGTGTATTATATATGAGTTTTTTGTAGTGAGCTGTTGATACTGTCTCCTGATGAATATGATTACTACGTCGAATGTTGTAGTTATAGACATCCGTGTTTGATATCAGTAGTTATAGACATCATCACATTGCTATCGTTTTTTAAAAAAAAATTCTCTACAAGGTTTGTAGATGATTTGGTCAACTTTTTTGCTATATTACACATTACTTGTTTTATAATTTGAAATCAAAATATCCTGACCCAAATTTTAGCCTTCCTTATGACTATTCTTCACAATGATGTGTATTTTTTTAAAAAGAGGAAGATACCACCACTTACGACCTCTCAGTGAGACTCGTAACGTATGAACGCAAGTAAATATTGTATTTCCGCATTATATTTGGGTAATCAATGTCAACTTTTTATTTACTCCCACAAACAAGTCCTATTTTGTCTACTTCAGATAATGGGTTAATGCCACGACAGTTTGATAGTGCTAATACTTTTGTATATAACATTCTTCCACACTTTCAAAATCATTGTTGGCGATAATTGTGCATTGGTATTGCACATGTTGTTCAAGAAGTAATTTGTTACAAAATAAAACAGATCAATACGATTTTAGGGGAAAGTTTCTTAGTTTTGACCTCCATTTCAGCTACCAACCTCAACATCATTTCAGGAAGGCAACATTCAGTTAGGAATATAATAAGAACAAAAGCTTTCCAATATTTTAGCGATTTAATATTTTCAAATTTCAATAAAAATGATACATAGCAACGAAATTCAGCACATCACATATTTTTTTCCTTGGCGTTTTGTAATTTTATTTTTAATAAGTCTATTCTTAATGAAAGATGCTCTTTTTCTAATTTATGCATTTCTCTTTTGAATTTCAATTCCTCTTGAACCATATTTTTCTGTAATAATGCAATTTTGGTTTTTATTTCTGCAAGCTTCTGGAACCGCCATTTTTTATTTATTTTGCCTATTAACAATAATTACAATCACACATTACATTACATCATTAAAGAGATTGCAACAAATTAAATTTCATTTCAATAATTACCAAATGACATTTATATTATGTGCTAAGAGTGTATTTATAATTGACGGTTAGTGTTCTAGATTGTGTTATGGCCATAGGGAGATATTTTCACAATGAAATAAATTGTATAACATTGCTTTTTGCATTATTCAGACCAGAAATTAAATAAAAAATATTCACTTGTATTTTTACTTGTATCTTCACTTGTATTCTTACATAGTGCAAGTAGGCTGAAAATGAACTAATTTCAAAGTCATTTCATCATAATTTACCATATGAGTTTATTGTAAACAAACATAAACTGATTTTTTCGTCTAAGAAAATTTTAATAGGAATGAAAATAATTTAATTTTTGAACAGTTAATATCATCAACACATTCAATTTACGACACTATAAAAGCTTTGGTTATGATGTTCAAAACAAAATAATATTGATGCTTTTCATTACATTAATGGAAAAAATGACCGAAGACGTTACATAAAATGCATGCAAAGGACATACTTGTATTCATGTACCGGAAATACACGTTAACGAGAGCAATCATGGACAAATGTATGTGTAAATAAATAATGCGATAAATATATTCATTTATAGTACTCACATAAGGCTCCCCGCTTCTTTGTTGCTAATGAACCGTGATTCTTGGACTTCCATTTTCTTCGAGAAAATGGGTTCTGCCCGTAAATTTTCAGGTTTGATGTACTCGGTGGAGTAGTTTTCGCTAAAGAGTATTTTTTTATTGTAATTACAATTTTTATATTAATTTAAATATTTCAATTACTTTTATAATGCCACTACAGCGTTTGTAGCGGCAATAATAATAATAATAATAATAATAATAATAATAATAATAATAATAATAATAATAATAAGAAGAAGAAGAAGAAGAAGAAGAAGAAGAAGAAGAAGAAGAAGAAGAATAGAATGCCGATCGGGATGGTCGATATCGCAAAGGATGAAGTGCCCTGGCGGTCTCGGACCGAAGTATCGCGATTTCGAATCCCGCCACCTGTTCTGTTTGTGTGTGTGTGTCTCTGTATGCTTCTGATTGTTCATTTCATCCTTCATATCCATTATGATACCCCTCATTCCGCAGGGCTAACAACCCTGGCTGTAAAAATGGATTCAGCATGAAAATGTTGATCCCCCCCCCCCCATGAAAGTCACGTGTGCTCGTAGCTCCGGTGGATTGCACGTTAGCGTGGTCTCGAGACGGCCGATTTGCTATCAAAAATTAATAATAAATAGATAATAAAGAAAGCAGTAAGGCAGTATATTTACTTTGATTGAGTTGTTCTTCCTGTTTTCTTTCACATACGTTATTTGAGAATGGTTCCTCATGCACACAATTATGTGACGTACTCGTATTTTGAAATTCATTTAAAATATTTCTATTACCTGAAAAGAAAAAATACACTTGTAAATTAACCGACTTAATTTTTATTCTTCTATGATGTACTATATTAAGTTTACATTTAGTACCTTCAAATGATTCTTCACTTGAAACTTCTGATGGAATTCCTTCACCATTTTCCACATTATCTTTCTTAGGCAGAATGACTGAAACTTTCGAGCCCAAAGTTCTTCTGCTTGAGATTATTTCTGAAATCATTTAAGTGATGGTATCAATTCTGAAATCCTATTTCCGTATGCATCGTTTGTGGGGAGATTTTAAGGATTCTAGCCTGGACGGTGGGATATTCTAAACACTAGCTAGGTAGCTGAAATAAATGTAATGACGATGCTGTGGGTCGTCTGGTCTGAATAGTGGTTTTCCATTGTTTCCCCGATTAATAACAGACGAGTGCCAGAATAGGAGCCAAACAAACGAGCCGCGTACCACGTGCGATCTTTCCTTCCTCTTCCTTATCCTATCCTCACCTCTAACTCATACACACTTATATTTACATGCACTACACTACTACACATGTCTGTGAAGCAATCTAGAACTTAGAGCTTGTCTCGATTGGGGTGTGGACCGGATCTCGCTTTCTAGAACACTAAACATCTTCTGGAATATATCGCGCACTACACTTGCAGGACTAAAGACTTGATTAGTTTTTGCACCCGTAAACATTAAATAATAATAAAATTTATATACGTAGAATTTTACTTCTCGTAGTGCTATTCAAAACTAAAATGCAATCAATTATTATTCGTATATATTTACCTGGAAAATTTGGAAGAATTTGATTAGAATCATCTACATTCTCGCCTCCTTCCACAAAAAGAAAGATCATATCCTTCACTTTCTCCTCAATGGGAGTCAATGATGGAACATTTGCTGCACCATTATCCGTGTTATGAATTTGAGCGCGAATAGCGGCAACTTTTTTTCTCACGTCCCTTTTTAAAGCTTCATATTTCAATTTGAGGTGTTTTGCGTCACGAAAAACACATCCATCCGCTCTATTGAAACTCCTTTCTATCGCATTCCATGCTAAATCCTTCTCCTGCCATGTGGTAGCGTCACTTTTCTTCCTTTCAATTATATTTTTTCTTTCCTCAACGAGGGACACAAGTCGTTCAGTTTCTTCGAAAGTAAAATTTACATTTCTATCACGCTTCCTACCTTTTTCCATTTTTGAAAATCAAATTTTTCACACGCTTTTTCAACACTTAACACTTTGTAACATACGTCTAACTTGGAAATCACAATATAAAAATGACTTCGCTCAACTGCACAACAGCAAACTCGTACTTATACTCCAATGCGTTCAGACCACATATGATCGCTATATCCAACGCTCACTGTATCTACACAGCAAATCTGAAAGATACTTTATCAGGAAGATGTCTGTCAAATAGTTTAGCCAAACAACGCTATCAGGTACTTAACCAGTAGATATAATTTATCTCTCAGTATCTAAAACTTTATCGGGAATCCGCGTATGTCCTTAGAGTTTACAAACACAGAGAGGAAAATACTTCAACTAGTAAAAAAGTGCATAACGCGTAATAATACAGAAAAGTGAGTAAACGGACGCATTGGCAAATGTAGAACATGGCAGGAATGATACGTGCAAGGAACTATAGCATTTCTGTTGCCATCGCCGCGACCAGATTTGGTTTAATCATAATTTTTAGGAATTTATTCTTACGTTATGTAATTTTCACATTTTTTTACATTACCATGTAATTATTTTACTACAATAACTTGTGCTTTGTTTCTAGCCACGCCACGTCTCGCAAACATCTCCGTCCCACCCATCCAACCCCTCACCCGCCCCGTCACCTCACCCGCCCCATCCGATCTCCCATGGCCGTCCCGCCCAAACACCCACCCCGCCCATCCGGGCCCTTTCGGTCTATAGATGATGTGAAACTAACATATTTATTTTATATTTTTGTAAATATTTTTTATTTTTGAAGCTATTAGCCCAATTTTGATGCAAGAAATTCGCGGCGTATTGCATAGTTTTCGTGAACTAGCTCTGGCCTTGATCAAACTGGAACTGAACAAATTTACATTTCAGTCTGAATATTATCACTACGACAACAGTGTTTGTAAACATGCTCTTGGCTTCTAAATGACAAGGATTTCAAAACAATTTTTTGGCAAATGATCCACATTAAAGCAAAACGCAAGAGATCTGTAGAAATAACTAAAGAGCCGAAGAATAAATCTTTGATTTCCGCGCTAGACTGTTCGTATTGTTTGACGCTTGAGTTGGCAAAGCTGAACGTCTCCCCCCTCCGTTGACCCAGTGTTTTATTCAGATTGGGATTCGGGGCTCTCCATTGCGTCCTTCGCACGCTTACGTGCTCCTCTCGTGCGTTAATGCATATGTGCTTTCCCCCCTCCTACAGATACCAACTCACCTCCAGTTCCCACAGCGGAAATTTCACAAACACTGGTCGGAGTCTTTGGCAATGTGCAAATAACGCGTGGACATGCCTTAAATCAGTGTTCCGTGACTCAGCGATTATGAGACACTCTTATGTAATGTCATTGGGAGAATAAAAATAATATATCAAAATTAAGCTTTCAAAATGAATATGTTTTGGGACTACAAGTCACTCGAAAATTTATATCGTTTTTCGAAAGTAAACAAGGTAAAAAATAACCGCGAAGATTTTCATGAGCTGAAAATATTTGACGATTACATTAAACATACATTACACTACTGTGTACGAGGTAGCGAGTAAGTAAAAGTTGATGTTTTATGTATGATATTTTGTTCAATACTTCTAGAAATTATATTCACAATTATTTGCTTCAAAATTGCATGATTAGGAGGGCTTTAGCAATTTAAACGCTCATTTTTTTAAATAAATTTATTTTCGTTTTCTTCCCACAAATGCGTTGAAATAGTTAAAAATGTGAAAGACTTTGCAGTAATTTGTAATAACTTTGAAACGTATTAGTTAATTTTTGTAATCTGCATTAAATATGATTAAAATGTATATTTTTGTAATGTACATAATTAAAACTTGTTTCACTTTTCCATTATTAAATTATAATAATGTGTTTTATAACATTTATTGGTGCCCCAACCCATTATGAGTCGTAAACCGCTCTGAAGTCTGCTAAAATTATTTCCTACATTATAAGAATTAACAGCTGTAAAAATATGCTAATGATATTTTGTGTCAATAACCGTAATTTTGATAGAATTTCTTGTATTTTGTCAATAGCACAAACCTGGCGATGATCTTTCTTGATTCATTAAAACTTTTTTTGTTTTCTGTATATACTAAGATAAAAATGGGCTTTACTGGTAAGGCTGAATGCCTTAGAGGATCTGTTTTATATGTATTTTGTAATACCAATTTATGAATCAACTTATGAGCACCAATAAACAAGCTTACAATATGACAATAACAAAAGGATGTTTTTCATTAGAAGCATACAACATGTCGAAGTGTCTTAGTATCAAATTGTATTTATTCCATCTTCATAGTGAAACGGTTCGCAACAGATCCAATTTAAATAATGATAAGAAATATTGATATTTATATTGCCCTTCTTTGCTACACGTTGGGCAGTGAATTACTACGGTTCCCTATTTCTCTAGTGCAATTTAATTCGTGAATAATGATGATGAAGATAATAATAATAATAGACACAAATGAAATTATTTTTAACTATCTGTAACTTGCCATTATTTTTAATCATAAAACGTTTCATAGAGTTTTATTCAATAAATTTGTTTGGGTTGTGAGTACGCGAAACCACTCTTACGAGAAACGGGATGACTGTCATCGTCTATTGGAAATTGGACGCATAAATCATTTCTTTCACTCACGAGTTAATGAAACACCAAAATTTTCAAATTTGTTGTTGCTGCCACGAGTGGCGGCGCAACCTTGTTTATTTATAATAAACCCTGCCAAGGTGGCTACTTGGTACCGCCTGTCTTGGCTAATACAAAACATATACATAACAAACAATAGATGAAGATAAACAAAAAACACAAACATTATACCCTTCAAGCAAAGTATTTACATGGACACTCACACATAACAATTAACAAAACTCATTCATATTTGCGCGCTACCTTTCCTCTGATTAATGACCATTTTATGTCTGAGTCAAAAATGTTTCTCTCAGTGCAATATACGTCTTGGCCTATAAATTTAAGTCAATAAAAAATTGAAATCGTCACTTCCCTTTTGTGGATCGCTGTGGCTGCCTTCAACATCTCCGTTCACACGTCGCCAACATCCAGAATTACCATAACCATTTGTGCCCATTTCATGTTTGTACTGCAACGTCTATCTGTAGTAATTATAATACCACAATTTCGTAACTCGACATGGTTTTCTTTCTGCCATTTACCTGTATTGTGTTTTTCGTCCAAAGTTCCTTCGCGCCAGATTATATTCCACTGTGTATTATTGATTAAACATTTATTCAGGTAATTAGTTTATATTTTAATGAGTTTTTAGGGTCTGTTTATTTATTTCCACATGTTTTCTTACACAGGTTCTCAGGTTGAATTATTGCGAATATGAAGTTATAATTTCTTCCGAATCTCTCAGCAATGCATTTATTTGTATGTGTATTTATTTTTGGTCAGAGTACAATTTATCTTTACTATTTCTTTACTCCAGTCCGCTGGTACAAATAATTACCCAGTTCGTCAGCTCTGGCATCCGAAATAAATAAATACCACTACGCTCCCAAACCCGTCACTTGTCTAGGTAAACATGTCGCATTTCGTTCCTCTTAAAACTAGTTTAGTGATTGTCTTTGATGGGTCCGTCTGGACCGTCACACGTGTTGAAATTGGTAATGAATTTGTATTTAGATCGCATTTTGGACTACAAATATCAACTTTATACAATCTTCTAAATATCTCAAATATGTGCCGAGGAATAACTATCTCGAGAATATATTCCTTTGAAATTTTGCAACTAATGTTCATTGTATGTTGTCTTTTTCGTTTTTAAATATTGGAGGCATAGAAGGAAATATGGCAACAAATAAAATTGTCACTGATGATTAAGGCTTCCTTACTTCATGCCATTTTTTTGCCGGAGAACAACCTTAATAGAGCAGGACTACATTTCACTTGAATGTCAAGGTTATTTGGTGACTTTTCTGGCTTGTCCACTCTCGAGAACCCTAGCACTCGGCAAATATGTTGACCTTTCAGTATCTTCAGTGTGCTGTCTCCACATATTTATATCTTCCCAGAAGTTGGAGCTAAGGGGTCCTAGCATGTCTAAACTCAAATTTACAGTTTCGAATGTAAATGAGGGAATTTAAATAAATGAGTTTGGACTCTTCAAGTGGATTTCTTTGACCAATAGATTTCCATTGTGTTGCCTGTTTGCTTTTAAAGAATGGCAAGAGATAAGAGATAAGCTAAATTCTGAATAGACCTTGCTGACTGGTCAAAATGTTTTGTTAAGACAATGTTATTTACAGAATCATGGAAATCTCATTATCTTAATTTCTTTTAGAAAATCGTATTAAATAAATTACAGAAGGAAATTTCTTAATTATATGCAATTGACAGGTTATTTAATTTTTGCGTATGCTTCGTTTTGAAATTATAACCTTTGTTCTACAATGTACGGGTCAAAATGTCCTGTACTCCCATTCTCTGAGCTTGCATTTAATTACGTATGTAATAATCAATAGCAAAAACATTAAATATTATATGTTTGTTTAATTTTGGCGACACGACCTAATGGATTCTTGGTTTACATCATTCACTTCCCTCATAATGAATATTGAGAGTTCGTACGAAATGAAGAATTTCATAAAAATATCTTTTGCCTTTACTATTAATAAAATCAAAATGACTTCTTAGTTTATTATCTCTCTCTCAGAATTATTTGGAATCTTCTAAGAATTTTTACTGCACATGTTACTGTAACATGTACTTTGTAAGTGGTATTCTAGCATTAAGAATACAAGCCGCATAGCGGTATTGCAGCATGCGAAACTGTTTGGTTTACTTCCTTGTGTATCGTTAACTATCATTTTAATCCCGTAGTGCTCCAAAAAGTATCGCATTTCGTATTTGCAGCGGAGCTGAAGAAATATTAGCAACCCTTTTACTCCAAGCGTCGATGAAACTAATTCATCTTCTCTAAGATACAACAATGGAAAAAAGTGAAAGTGCCC